TGCTGCCTGTACCCTGCCCAAGCCCCATCCATAGCACCCATCAGGTGTTTTGGCAACCACTTCAACAAAGTTTTCTGATGGAAAACACTAATTTGCAGAGTTAAACCCATTTCCCAGGGATGAGAAAATCTAGTTGGGAATTATCAAAGTACTTTCAACCTTTTTTACTATTATTTTGGCAATCAGTACAATAATGATAAAGCTCCAATTTAAGAGGTGTTTCTTATCCAGAAGTGTTTTGCTGGGGTTGAAATGCTTGAGGGGATTTTGTTTTGTGGATTAGAAAAGAGGCAGCAATTTTGACTTTCAATCCCAACTTCGAAATGAAACATTTTGAAATCTTGGTTTTTCCCAAGGGTTTGAAATGTCATGTTGGGCTGCAATTTTGACTTTCAATCCCAACTTTGAAACAAAACATTTTGAAATCTTGGGTTTTCCCAAGGGTTTGAAATGTCATGTTGCAACAAGTTCTGTCCCATCAGAGGAAGGGGATCCATTGATGATGGACAAGAGGGTGCCAGGTGAACACTACAAACCCACCACCAAGGGAATGACCTGCACCCCTGTGGCTTGGGATATTTATTCCCCCAAACAATTTCCATGTCAGGGCATGGGTGCCTTCCCTGCTCATAACCTCACCCACACAGGTTGGGTGGGAGCAGAGAATGAACCATGAGCAGAGCACACCATGGCTCCAGGAACAATGAAATTGGCTTTCCCAGTGCACTAAAATACAGACATGGGAAGGAAAAATGGTTGCTTTTGTCCCTTACATTACGACCTTTGTTCTGTAGGTAGATGCTGTGCTGGGAGTTATTCTGACTTGTGTTTCACAAAGCAAAGTCCCACTGAAAGCCATGGAGAACACAACGTGGCCCAGATAACACTGCAGGAATGAAGTCCTGCAGCACTCAGCTTGCCTGTGCGTGGGAGAGGGGAGAAGTAGTAGTGTAGTTCCCACTTCATTTTTTGTTTCTTTGCTTTGAGATAAGAGCAACATCCTCTACACAGCAGGGTCAGCCATTCTGCTACAGCCTGTGTCTAGATTCAAAGCACTGTGGCTTCCAGCAGAAAGGGTTTATCTTAGTGGAGAAAGGAGGCAATAATTTGTTTTAGGCAACACCTTTTCTAGCCAAAGTTTCTTAGTGTGTTTCACAAGATGATACCGTAGACCAAGTCTGAAAAGCTAAATTACTTTTGCCACCAGGCGCAACTGGTGGAGGTGGATGGCTCTATTCCACATGTGCAATTCCCCTCCTATTAGGAGATCTGCACTGCATGGTGTAGCGCAAGGGGAAGACACAGCAGCTGTACTGTGCTCTGCAGCTCCCACACTATCCTGAGCTGGAGAATTAGCCTGGAGCTGCATTTTTCTGGTTTCACTTTGGATATTTTTTCAATCTTGGCTCAGGAGGTATTTTTTCAGCCTACCCTTTTTTAAAGTTTGCAGTCCACAGTGGGTTTGGTGACACTTTTGGGGAAGGTGAGGATGAAACTGATCACAGCCCTGGAACAATCTAATAGGACCCTAGAGCTACCCAGTGCTCATGGTGTGCTGCCTTGGATTTCTCCTGCCCTTCAGTTCCTGCTGTTCCCTCATTCTCCAAGGTATAGATTTGCCCAGAGTCTTGGTAACAAAGGCAAAGCTTAGATGCTGCTGCCTTTGGCTCTGAGCCTCAGATCTGTCCACTTTCAGGTACCTCAGCACACTTTGCTATGACCTCTTTCTGTAAACACGATGTCCCCTAGATCCTGC